TTGAAAAAAACAAGGGTTATTCTTGATATCTACAAAAAATCTATAACCATGCGATTTAACACCGAGCATACACTGAGTGTTTAACAAATCTGCGAATTCAATACATGTACACAGTTATTGCATTATACTCAAATTATATACTCCCTGAACCCTTATTCTGATGCCAGTTTGTTGGGGGTCCAATAAATGATATGATGATGAAATTTATGTGGGACTCGCATTCTAAGATGTGAAGTCTGTGGTAGATGTACTCCACACAGTTAACAAGCAGCTACAAATAGCTACAGTGTTCAGATATGATAAATAATATATGGATCATGATCGCATCAATTATCACAGTTTGATGACACAGCCACTTACCTTAACTTGCCGTTTTCGAAGACCTGATGCTACATTATTAAGCCCAAGTTTATTGAACTCATTACTACCACACGCTAGCAGTCGACCCCTGGCAGTCAGAAAGAAACTTGTATCTGGACCGGCACATACTGATACAATGGTCCTCTTTCCATGTATTGGCACCTAGCAACAGGAAAGAAGAATCAGAAGAGTGAGAATCTAAGCGTTAATCAAACCTTCACCAGAAACATTTTAATGGTACCAATAATTTTTATTATCAGCATTTCCATTTGATTGCTGAGTTACAGTGATTATAATTTCTAACCAAAATGACAAGGTTATTGTCATTACAGCAATATTAAAATGATATTCATCACACACGTGTGTTCAAGTTGTATACATCGCATGGGACCCATATCTAACATGTGCCACAAAGATTGACACTTTATTAAATAGTGAAGCAGTGGTAGATTGAAATATTACACACATACATGCAATACATATATGACATCATATAAGATTTTTATTTTATAAACTGATTCAATGTTGTATTTTATATTATGTATGATGAATTTTCATGATAAAATATATATTAAATAATTTTAACTTTTTTAACTGTAGCATCCTATACAGAGGGACGTGTATTTTTAAGATGTGACTTTTAATTTCATTAAGAGAAAAATTTTTGCAAATTCAAAACTTTGTACTAGTGAATGATTTTCAGATACACAGGAATCACGTCAATTTTCACAATATTCTGGCTTCTCCGAAGCTATAAAATTATTAAATCACAAAATTACGATCAGCGGAAATATGACAGTACTCTTTATATATTATATATACTCTCACACAGAACAAACAAGATACAAATTTTATCATAATGTGATAATTCTTACCCTTTGTGGCAGTGAAAAATCATCCTCAGAACCGAGGCCAAGACGACCTGCGAGGAATGAAAAAAAGGTTACTATATACAGATGCAATGGATAAACCTATACAGAAATAATTAGTGAAGTAATACTTGTGCTAACCCCCCCCCAATTGCATCACCACACTATTATTTAATTTAATTCAAGCATATTTATCATATGCGTACAAGTACCCGTATATACTTTACCCCACACGTACCATATTCCCCACATCCCCACGAATATACCTCTCCATCTTGAGTTAATGCTAGAACATGGCAGTCACCACATGATACTTGTTCAACGGGTTTCTTAAGAAAGAAATCAACTGGTAGGGGCGTGTGAACCTCATCTCCATGGGAGTTGTCACAGCCCAGGCAGCCGTAGTAGTCGGAACCAAACGTATATAGCACACCATTATCTGGAGGGGAAAGAAAACTAACGAACATCAAGAGACAACTGTGGCAAGAATGATGGTAATTAAGGTAGTACAAAACATGGTAGACATGTTTTCAGGAAAGTATAAATCTCTAAATATGTCAAGGGAGGCTTAAAGCTTACAATTAGTTTTGATGCAACATC